TGAGCAAGACTGGATTTAATAACGCCTAAGAAGGAATCATCATAGTCACGGTGGTGCATATCTCGAAGGGTGCATATAACAGATTTATCCAAATGGAGGCGGGTCATAGGTTTGACACCAACTTGGATAAGACCTAAATGAAGGAAATTGAATGAAATTTAAGAATTGTATCTCGATCGAGTAATTGGAAATTTTGGTTATCTTGGGTTACAGGTAATATTTGTTCAACTGTTTTGATTTTGTAAGTCTGTTTGAGTTCAAATTTTTTATCATAAAGACAACTAATATCTTTGGTAGGTAATTTCCAATTTTGCAGACGTTCTTTAATCTTTTCTATTTCTAAATCACTTTGGTTAATAATAACTGGTTTTGTTGAGGAACCTTCACCAGAAATCAGATTAGAGAATGATTCTAATATTCTTGCCATTATAACTGTAGCGGTCAACAGGAGGTTTTGCCTAAGCTCTAACGGTCAACGATGGCTTCCTACCTAAAGACCTAACGGCTTACAAACTTTTGCGACTTGAGTGCTACGCCGGTTATAAGGTAAGAAATAAAACCAATCTTAATTTTACTTCTTTTTTTTAATACCAAATTAATCTAAAAACTAACTTGGCTCTGATACCAAATAGGTTCCAAAGATTACAAACTAAGTGAGTGATGTAGTTTACACACAGATTACAAAATGTAATTGTTTTTAGAGACATTTCAGACAAGCATCTTCAGCTTTTATTTTTCTTTTAATTGTCGCAATTCTTTGACAATAATTAATAATTGATTGACCAGATGCAAGAGATAATAATAATCTTAAATTATTTAATTCTTCTTCTAAATCAGAAATATATTGAATACTGTTATTAATTTCTTGAAGCAAATTAGAAATTAAAAGTATAACAAAACAAACAATACTTATATTAAAATACGAAATCTGAATAAAGAAAACTTACAATAGGTCACAATCTTGGTAGCAGATTGGACATAACATCCACTAAATACAGTCACACTCTTGATACACTCGAAATACACTCAAATTTTCTCACACAATTTCTCATACTATATTACAATAAGCTTTTGATATTTAGGAAAGCCTACCTCCTCTGAAGTGTGGCTGGCTTTATATAGATGAAGGAGTCTAGAATTGAAATGAATTGACATCCGAAGGAATTTGCTTTTTGCTTTATGGCTTTATCCTTTTGTTTTGTTTGATTTCCTTTGCTTTGTCAGTGGAGAAAGCATTTTGCTTTGACGGTGGAGAGAGCATTATTGATCGTTTGTTTCTTTTGAATTGTCTTCTAGCATGCATGTGATGGAACCGTCATTTGTTTATCTTTATGAGGTGGCTTGTAATTGTGATTGTCGGTGAAGTCTTTGGATGCTGAGGGAATTATTGTCCTGAGAGTCACATGGTTCACAGATTATTAAGGTCGATACCCTAACACGTATTAGAATAATCATCATCAAGATTTTGGGTAGGAATTTTTGGAGAGGATTTGGTGGAGGTAGTGGGGGGAAGATATTTTTGGTGATGAAACTAGAGGTTGTTTGGATTTTGTGAGAATTGGAGAGAGAGATTCTAATACAAGATCGTCATCCAAGTCGGAAAGAGACTCTGCATCGGCCATAAGGATCATTTCATTTTGATGGCCTTTTCATATTTGTGTTCAAATTTGGATCTAGAAATTAAGGGATACTTTTCTTTTAATTTTTGCTTTAATTCTGCCTTAAAGGCATTATAATCAAAAGATTTATTTCATTTTGGATTGGAAGACATTACTGATGGAGCTGTATTGATGGCAACCTTCTTTTTACAATCTTTATATAATGAAATTAATTTATTAGGAAATTGATCGGGTGGAATTTTATAATTTTTCCACCATTTTGTTGCAATTTGGTGGGAAAGATAATGAGTGTTGCCAAGTACTCAAATAGTATATTGCCAAGCCATAAACCATGAAAATTTGAAATCTATTATAAAATATAAAAATTCTAGGTAAGGAGGGATGGTCTCCTTCTGATAAATATCATAAGACTCTTTGAGGGGTTCTGGCAAAGCTTCAAATTGTAGACCAAATTTAGTCCACCATGGCTCGAACCAAGTGGGAATTGATTTCGTTAAAATATCAAAATTGGGTCCAAACGGATCTACCATGAGTGTTGGAAGAACCGATTTTGGAAGTAAAAGATATGGTACCAAGCTTGTTGGTAATCATAATAATTATATTGGTTTGGTTTGATATTTGGATCGGAAAATTTGCAGAAAATTGTCAAATGTCCCCATTCCCCGAGAGAAATTATTTTGAGTATGTGGAGTTTGGAATATTGGAGAAGGCTTTTGTTGTCTCTGGAATAAACATGTTCCACAGTGATAGAATGGGTTTCTTCAAGAATTTTTTCATAGCAACTTCTAGAGTGTTGGCCAGAATGTTGAGGATAATGCTAGTTGTTTCGAAAATAATGGGATATGATGGTTTCTAGCTTAGTGTTTGGGTTTTTGAGGAAAAATGTGGAATGGTCAACAATAATAGGGAGTGATGGGATAAGCAACATCATGGATATAATAGCCATGATCAGTTGATGTATGGGATAAATTGAGTCCTCCTTTGGAGGAGGTAGCTTGTGAGGGGTTATTTAGTCTATAAGTCACCCAGTAAAAATATGTTTGAATGCGGATTCTTCATTTGCGATAATGATTGAAAATATGGTAATATTTAAATTGCTTTTAATGGGGGCTGAACTCCTGATTGGGCAGTGTTTGGAGATCCCTGTAAAAATTCACGAGTAAGAAAATCAGGCAAGGAATTTGATTCACCTCGTATTTATTCAATTCTGAAATAAAAAACACATAAAATTGCTTGCCAACGAGCAAAGGCTTGTCTAGAAACAATATTCTTGACATCCTTTTCTAAAACCTCTTTGGCAGCTTTACAATAGATACGTAATAAAAATTCTTGATTTAATAAATCAGATTCAAATTTCTTAATACGGGAAACAATAGACAATATTTTCTTTTGAATAATAGAATACTGTGTTTGTGGCCCTTTTCATATTGCGGAGGTAAACTGAACTAATTGTTCTTTACCTTTATATAATTATTTGAGGATGCCACCATAACCGATATCACTAGCATTTGTCTCCACAATCTTATAAGCAATAAGAATTGGTAAACATAATAAGGGTAAGAATTTTGTTATTTGTTTAATCCTTTGGACTACCACAGTATGTTCATGGGTCTATAGGAAGGATTTTTTCGAAGACGAGTTTATAAGATTTTAGTATCTCTGTGGAGATCTTTATAAAATTCAGAAATATAATTTAAGCTTCCAAGAAACCTTTGTTGTTGGGTTTTGTCACAGATTTCATCTGAGAATTTATTAGCAAATTCAATAGACCTTTGAATGGGGATGATAGTGCCTTTGTGAATAATGTGGCTGAGAAATCGTATGGATGTTTGGAATAATTGTATTTTTTTGGCACTAAGGATTACGCCATTATTTTTAATAATATTATAAAATTTGTAAATATGCTTGCTGTGTTGAGACACAGAATTAGAATAAATTAATATATCATCAATATATACAAGTGTAAAGGCAGTATAAGGATTGAAAAAATCATTCATAATATTTTAGAATTCAGAATGGGCATTTTTTAGGCCAAAAGGCATTACATTCCACTCGTAATGGCCAAATGGTACAGTGAAAGTAGTCTTATAACGGTCTTTTTTGGAGATTTGAACTTGTCAAAAGTCAAATTTCTTATCAAATTTTGAAAATATTTTTGCTTCATAAAGACAGTTTTAATAAATATTTTTTATTGGGAATTGGGTATCAAATTCACTATAAAACCTTATTGAGTGGTTTAGAGTTAATTACTAATCTAGGTGTTCCTCGTTCTAATTCAACATTTTTATTGACATAAAAAGTAAGGCAAGACTAGGGAGACTTACTTGGTCGAATTAATTTTTTATTAAGATCATTGATTTCTTGTTTGCAATATTCCATTAATTTTTTATCCATTTGAATTGGTCGAGCTGTGGTAGGGATTTGTCGTTCATTGAAATCTCTTTCATAGGGCAAATCAACCATATATTGTTTACGGTGCCAGAAGGCATGAGGTAGTTCAGAACATAAATCGTTCTCAAATAAATATTGAATTTTTTGAATAATAGATTGAACATGAGGTTGTTGTAATTCCTGGTCAACAATTTTGTACGAAATTTCTTTTTAGAGTAAGAAAATTTGTTTTTGATTATAAACAAGATTTGTTTTGAGCGTATTCCCATCTCCAATCCAGCACATTTTATTTCATTAAATTTGAATTTGATGAAAAAAATACTTTTTTATTGCTCCAATGGTTTTACCAAACCAATACCAAATCCAAGATATGTTACAATTTTTATCAAATTCAACAATTTTGTAAGAAATTTCTTTTTAGAATAAGCAAATTTGTTTTTGATTATAAATAAGATTTGTTTTGAGCGTATTCCCATCTCCAATCCAATACATTTTATTTCATTAAATTTGAATTTGATGAAAAAAGTATTTTTTTATTGCTCCAATGGTTTTACCAAACCAATATCAAATCCAAGATATGTTACAATTTTCATCAAATTGAAGATAGCTGTAATTTCCACCAATTTACTGTTCAAAGTGGTTGGAGTTTCAAGTAATACAACATCGCCGGATGACTGGCCGGATGTTCCCCGGATGACCACTTGGGTGAGTGAAAAATTGCCCACAACATATCACAGATTTTTGTAAAAATTACACTAGTCAGTCGACTGGCCAGACATCCTCCTGGTCGACCGGTGATTTGATGACTCTCTGTTGGACCTCACGATATTATATCGAGTTTTTACTCAATTTTTTACTCAAATTTGATGGAAAAAAGGTTAAACGATGGAGATGCCCTAATATGGATCCAATCCAAAGGGGACATGAACAGCCTAACCACAAGAAAAATACAAACCATAAAATAATAAACCCATAAATGAAGCATGAAGATTTTTCAGAAACAAAATACCAACTACTTCAAATCTATGATATTTCCAAGTTTTTCTGTTATTTTCTTCTCTTCTAAAACAAAATGTTTTCTTCCCCAAATTGCCATGTTAGTAAAATGGTTCAATAAAAGCTTCTCACTGTCAACTCAAACGCCAAAGTAACAAATATCAATCTGCATCTTGAAACACTTCCTCAAATATATAAGAGCTACACGTTAAAAAGGCCAAGAAATGGCTGGTCCAAGTCGAAAAACACCTAGCAAACAGAGAGTTTAATTTTGTACCCCTGGGCCGATCCCACCTCCTATAATGTCTGACTGAATCTAACAACTGGTTACAGATCCAGATGGTCAGTTGTACTCCACATATTTTGATCGTCAGACTGTGGATCTCCAAAAATAGCTTCAATCCTTGGTTTTGCAGGTTGATCTCTCCCGAGAGGGAAATTCCAAAATGAATCGGAATTCTCAAAGAATATGTAAAATGCAACTGCAGATGCCAAAAATAATCCCAGAAGAACTAAATAGACCTGCCACTCTGCACATGAGAAGGGGGAAAAAAATAGATCAGCCTCGAATGTCAAACAGAGAGAGAGAGAGAGAGAGAGAGAGAGAGAGACCTTTCCAATCTGCAGCAACATTTAGCTTAGTCACCATAGCTCCCCATTCTTTAGAAGTAGTAAGCACAATCCTGCATAATGCATTCCCACCCACATAGGTTAAAGCAAATACCAGGCTTCAAAGGGACATGGCTAGCCTAACCACAACCGAAAAATACATCCAAGCATTTAATTTCTTTTAATCAGTTATAGATGAGTTGACATTGTGAATAGAGTTTTCTTATCTGTGAACTACACAGTATATCTGATTCCTTGTTGGACCTAGCCTTGGTCATTCATCAAGCAGAATTGCGGATGTTTGTCACGGGATTAGAGCTAAAACTTATTTTCTTCTTTTTTTAGGGTCCAATCTGAAGGAAGACAATTCGTTTCAAGGTGCTTGTATGACTCCAAGAAACCTCACAACAAAGTCCATGTCAGGCTGGCATGTTTGTATATATTTTTGATAAATAAACTGACACGTTTGTATTGGAGCTCAATGCCTTGTTTTTTCAAATTCATTTTTGAGTATAATATGTTTCGTTGCATTAAAATCTGAAAAGTGCTTCTCATCTCTTACCAACCATAGCTTTCCCAAAAATCTAAGAAAAAACTTCAAATTTCTGTAATAGATCAACCAGTTTCATGAATCAAGTGCCGATAGGAGTGGAAAACATGGATATAGAACATTAATCACAAATAACTGCATTTGAGAGAATTTCAAAATGGTTAAATTAACTGATGAAGGAATATGAATTGAGATAATTCAGTAGTCCATTCAGGACCAGGAAGCTGGAAGGGAAAGATAGGAGCACATACATAAATTTTGACCTTCTTCTACCTGTACAGCCATAAATCTGACACCATATGTATCGTGTCTTAATCAATTGAGGTCGGGTCAGCTACATAAGCCACTTTTCCCCATCATGCTCTATCAAGGGCCATATCTTTAGTTAAACCAAGTAAATTCATATGATTCTTTACTACATTATCCCATGTCAATCTTGGCCGTAGCCTTCCCATAGTGTTTCCATTAACCGTGATCCAATTGCACTTACTCACCATTACCTCTACCGGTCTTTGTCATACATGATCAAACCATCTTAGCCTATCCCCAAAATGAAATGCTTGAAGTAACATAATATTGCAACTACCTTCCTCTTTCTTTCCCCCTGAATTACAATTGTTAGAATTTTTCCCAAGAAGTATTTCATTCGTTTTTTTAGACAAAAGTAAGGAATTGATCCATCTTAACCATTGATCACAAGCACAGTGTATATATATATTAAATTGCAACAAAACAAATCACAAGCAAATACAAAATGCAAGAGTATTAACCTTACCTTTCACTAGGACAGAACTCGAGCGATGCAATGCGTGAACCCAAGTGAAGCCTCTTACTCCAGTGGGAGACCTCCATTTTTTTCAGTTCAACTACACATACATCCCCATCTTTGCTTCCTCTGTAATGAAGGAAAAATACACATCATTGAATTTAAAAATCACAAACCAAGGCACCAGCCTAGTACACTATTGCAATGAGTTAAAAACATTATGAAAAAGTTTACAAACTGATGTCATCAAACAGCATTTCTAGAATATCACATAATTTTTAACTATTCAGCATGAGACTACAGATTTTCTTTTCCTTAAGCTATGAGCCATACAATGTGAAAAATCTACTTTAAAAAGGTCAAATACATGAAAAGACAACTTTTAGCACTACCTTTCTGCAAATGAAGGATCATGCTAACTTTTTGGCTAAGCACAAAACAGGCAGGATTGGAGAATTTGTCAATAAGGTAATAGCCTCAGTAAAAGCAAAGAAGTCTGACGGTATAAAGGTGCTAAGGGCTATATTTCTTATATAATCATAATTATGCCTCAACATCCATTCCCTCTCCCATCCAAAAGTCAAAAGTAAATAAGTGCATAGTTCGCAGTTCAAATTTGATATGAGAAAATTTGTCCAATATATGTTGGTGCTGCAGTGCAGTACGAAAAGAACAAATAAATTTCAATGAACAAATTGCATAAAGACAACCCTAATGGTAAAAAAAAAAAATATATAAACGAAGCACATTTTAAAATCCTGAGTTGCAGATAATCCATTAATCAAGAATATATTAGCAATACATTGGTCCACAGGTTCTCTACAAATACTCCACACTTCAGCTTCAGTGAATTGAACATAAGTTGCACCTTGCAAGCATATTAAACCCCGCCTCAAATTGAAAGAAGTTAGTAGAGAGCTTGTTCTAGTAAAAGACTAAAAGAATAGAAAACATTTATTTCAAAAAGGTTAGGGGAGAACGTGGAATTCTATTTACAGTACTTTGAGATCAAAGTAATGACCTGTACAGTTAATTTTCCAAAACTTAAGGCTCACAATGAGATATATACCATGAGTTATAAATATTACAATCCAAATAGAGATTTCAACTAGGTAAACCAACTGTACTTATTCTTATAATAAATGCAAGCTAAGCATAGTACCATACAATATAAACTTAAGTGGAAAAGAAAAGCAGCGCACTTCTTCCATCTTGTTCTAATTAATGCAACCTAAGAATAGTGTCATATATTATAAACATAAGTGCAAAAGAAAAGCAGAGCACTTACAGAGCAAGGTATTTCCCGTCCAGACTCATGGACATTACAGAAGCAGGCTTTCTAAGTAGTCTCTTGTGCCCAATTTTTTTCCATTCACTTATGTCCCAAACAACAGTGAGTGCTTTATTACCTGCATTATATAAATAAGCTTACTTCAAATGTAAACAAGTACCGATGAGAGGGGGGGGGGGGGGGGGCTGTACATGTTTAAAAAGTGTGTACGGAAATGAGGAAGTTGAGTAGATGTATGGCACAAGAAAAGATAGAATAAGAAATGAATGCAATGTGAGAAGTTAGAAGTGGCTCTAATTGAAGATCAAATGAGAGAATAATTTAAGGTAGTAGACAAACTAACACGCTGATCTTGTCATGTGGATGATACTACGAGAGGAATTAACACTAAATTAGAAATATAGAGAAAAGAACTTGAGTCAAAATAATTTAAAATAAGTAGAATTAAATTTGAATAAATGGAATTTAACTTTAATAGAAATAGAAATAGAAATAGTGAAGATTGAAAACCATAACAAAAAGTGAACAAATTCATTACTTGTTTCAATTATTAATAAGGATGAAGATGTGATCCATAAAATCAAACTTCAAAGTATGTTGGCTCAAGTGGAGCAGCATTTCGGGCATATTATGTGATCGAAAGATACAAAGAAATTTGTTTTTTATTTTTATTTTTATAAAACATCTATAAGGTCAACACTGCTTTATGGAACATAATGTTAAAACGACTAAAAACAATACGTTCATAAAACGAGTGTAATCGAGATGAGGATGCTTAGATGGATGTGTGGTAAGACTAACAATAATAGAATTTTAAATTAAAAGAGCAGCAATAATTGAAGATAAATCCAGAGAGATTACATTAAGACGGTTTGGTGGTTTGGTCATATACAACAAAGACTGCTTGCAAGATACAAAAGTAAGAAAGAGTGATATAATCACTGTAAATGGAAATAATAATTGGGGGGATGGCGGCGGCCTAAACTGACATGGGATGCAATTGTAAAAAAAAACAATTTATTTAATTTAACTAAACATAAAACCCTTGACAAAGTGGAATGGAGAAAAAAGATCCATGTAGCAGACCCCACCTGATTGGGATGCTTAGTTTTGTTCAGTTTTAGACCAGCTAACAAGCTGGTAAGAATAAGTAAGATGATCCACATCAAAGTGACAAAAATTCAAGGACGCAAGTCAAGGAACTGTGAAAGAACATGTTTGCCTTGGATTTAACTAAAGATATGTCTGAATAAAGCTAACTGGGTAAAATGGATTCATGTAGCCAAACCCCAGTGATTGGGATTAGGGTTTTGTTGAGTTGATTTGTACATGTACTAATAGTAAGTGATGAAACACTGTATCATGTTCCTCTGTGTTTTCAGATAAATATACCTTTTTGAACAGTGCAAAAAAGGAACGGTTTTGTTCCGTCCTTAGAAAACCGACATAGTTCTATCTTTTCATCCTGCAGCAGAGAGAAGAGAGGATATGATATCAAGTCAAGAGTTCAACAAGAAGCATAAAAAATAGTGGTACCGCCAAATGTTGTTAGATTAAATAAACTGTACCGAGTTGCGAGTCAAAGAAGTCACTGGAACACCATCATTTGTCTTCCATATTCTTGCAGAACCATCAGTAGATGTTGTAGCTAAGAACTCTGAGTCTAGGCTGCAAGTTTGAAGAGGAGAAGCTAATCATTTAAACATAAAATTTTACACTGTTTCAATATGTTATATAACTATCATTTTTTATATAGTTTTATTAACTGCCTGCTAATCATTTTTTCTAAACAGATGCTTAAGCAGTTAAACCATTCTTTACATTCAAATACATAAATATCTACATATGAAAAAACACAATGAAATATATGCACAATGACCCTAACATTCCTCTGAAAAACACATGTGCGCATGAACTCCTGTGTCTGTCTGTGTGCATGTGTGAGGAGCTGAATCTGCTGAGGATACTAATAACAGCCACTAATGTGATTTCTATAACCAATTTGAGGTTCATATTCTCTTGATTCCTCTTTCCTTTTCCACAAAATCCCAGCATTTACAGCAACATTAGTCTATTTGAAACACTGGTCTTCCTCTGATATACAAGTTATGTCCACAATACATTTATCTGTAATCACAAGATTTCCTGAAATGGGTATTTGCATGGAGCTCAACTCTCAGGAACCTTTTAAGCATAAAGCAGGAAACTGTAAATCTTCTTGTCCAAGAACCACATCTCTTGGCATTTGCATGGCAATGTTTTTTAAAACAAGAAGAAACAAATTTTCATAAGTTTACCCAACTAAGCCAGAATGCTTATTATTACTCAGTAATCATGTATTTTACATGAGATATGAATGTGAAAGCTGTGTACATGTACATAAGCTTGGAAACAAAAGAAGGTGAGTGAGAGAGAGGCCATGCAATGCTGTAGGCAAAAGTGGGAGGAAAGGAAAGAAGAAATTTGCACTATGTATGTGATTTTGTAGGGGTGAGGAGGAATGGGTGAAGAGGGGATGTAAATCGGAAGCAAAACTTAATGAGAGTGAGAGAGTGCGCTATGCCCAACATGTTTGGGGAGAAAAGCAGGAATATTTACCTTGAGTGGAACAAAGCTCGTACAAACATAAATCTATATTGCGAAGTGGCAGGGTCAGTTATCTTTGTAAATCCAAAGTGAAAGAGGGGTAATGTTCAGAAATTTCATTAGGAAAGGCCAACAAAAACCAGGGTTAGGCATCCCTAAATGATAGTTTGGATAACTTTACTGCATATATGCATGAACATCAACATAACATACTGTTACGCATGAAACATCACAAAATAAACAAGTAAGTTGAATTCCTACCTAAAATCCATATCTTGGAAGGACTTGTGAGCTCTTGGTTCATCTAAAATGACACGCAGGCTTGGCCATTCAAAGATTCTGAGATGCCCATCCTAAAGTTAATTAAGGAATTGAGTCTCAATACACAAGTTTATTCACAAACAATCATATGTGCGGTATTAAAATGCAAGTTATACTATTCATCACAGTGGGTTATTGCTTACCTCCCCACCACTAGCAAATCTAGATCCATCAACACTAAAAGCTAGGCATTTCTGAAAGCCACTACCTTGGAGAGGAACAAATTCTTTGGCCGACATTTTATGACCGTACACCTCGAACACTCTGCACATCACAGAAAAATTTACAGACCAGAGACAGGAATGGAAATCATAATGATCATATAACAAACACTACCTTAGCTAGATTTAAGGTCTGAATAATCTCAAGTGAAAGGTCAATGGATAAACAAGCAAAGGTTGAATACACTTCTCAAAAAACTAAAAATTTTGACAACTTTTAGCCCCTCCAACCAGCCAACCAATTAACATATCAAAACATCATTTAACATCAAAGAATTTGCTGAGGGCTGATACAGCTCTGTTTGGTTTCAATTTCAGAATCAGTTTTCTGAAATTTTCTGAAAAAAATAGAAATTAGTTTGACAAAAATAAACACCAAGAAGCAGAGAATGATCAGCCAAGAAGCAGAGAATCACAATACAAGCACGTCCTTGGAAAAAAGGCACTTACCACAATCTTAGCTTAGCATGATGTCATCGCATTCAAATCATTAGTGTAGATAATACCATCAGTGATGACGAAGTTAAAAGCAGAAGTTCCACAGGCTTTTTCTTTTCTTTTTTTTGATGGGCGAAGTTCAAAAGCTTTTCCACAAATTAAATGAACAATGAACAATTTAGGCCAATATGTATGAAAGCCTACGCTAACAATTACTCTGACAGCCAAATCCACTTAGCAGAGATCCCACACAAAGATGAAACAAGCCTATAAGTGCTTTGGGATATTAGTGAAACTTTCTTCTCATTTTCTTCTCATCTATGTGAGACAGTTAACCTAACAATCATTCTTCTAGACCAACTACCACAAGAACCCTGCAATAAATCCAAAGGGCTAGTTCTCTGTCTACAGCAACTAATCACTATTTTTATTTCAGACGTGAAAGCCAAATCATTGCTTTATTTGAGTTTTGGAGATAAAAATGTGTAGCAGTAAATGAATAAATTAATTAGAGTAAATTAGACTAACACCCTTTGAGGTTTAAAAAAATATACATCAAGCCCCACAAGTTTGGCATAATTACATTGGGCTATCTTAAGGTTTTAGTTGATATAAAACTCAGCCTCCTTTTTCATTAATAATTTGTTAGTAGTATGGATGGAAAGATGATGTTATTCTTTCCACTTAAATGTATATTTTACCTTGTTTATCCATGTGTCTACACACCATCTACATTAGTTCCATTATAGTCATGTTAGTTTTACCAAAAGGGAAGTCGATGTAGTTATGTCAAACTTGTGGGACTTAAATGTATTTTTTCTAAGCCTCAAGGTGGTCAGTGAGATTTACCTAATTAACTAAGATGAGAGCTTAACTAGTTGAATCATGCTAATGACAACCCAAAGGTCTGTTGCTAAGGGGAGGAAAAAGCCAAAAAACAAAGGTTAGAATCTCAAGGTTTTTTTTTTTTTTCTCCACATTGGATCCCAAAGCACTTTCACATTAAGAAGGACACAACAATTTGTGATGACATCCACCGAAATAAAGGGTAGGAAAGGTTGATAAGTTCAATATTTCGCTGGACAACATAGATTCACAATAGTTACAAATATAAAATGTAGAATCGCAGCAAGACGATAAGAGCTGAAAAGGATATTAAAAAGATTCATTTTTTTTTCTTTGTTTGAAGACCAAGCATAATTATCCAACTTCAATCAATCAATCAGAATTTTCTGATTGTAATCGTACTCAGCCCAAAAATTTTGTTTTATAGCACTTGGAGACATTGGAAACAAAAAGCTTCCTTTCAAAGTGATATTTATTAGATGAAGACTTGAGGCTTATGCTTTCAAAAATACACGATGTTCTCACTAAAACTACAGACACAAAAAGGCAAAGGGAAACAATAGTGAAAAGTTCTAGTATAGATAGTTTGAATAGGCATATTAGTAAGCAGTCTTTTCTCTGGCTTCATACTATCACCCAAATCAGTAGCGGACCCAGAAATTTTGGGAAGGGGAGCCAAGGTAAAATTCTTTAGATTTTGGAGAACTAAGAAAGATTATATAGATTTTGGGAGGTCAAAATGCTAATTTCTTCTTTAAATGCTCCAAAATGTATGGTGGTAATGAGAATTTTAAGAAGTTTGAGAGCCTAAGGTAAAATTATTTGAATTTTATAGAGGTCAAAGTAAGATTATGGAGATTTTGAAGGGGCTAAAATACTAACTTGCTTTATGTAGAAATTTCATATTAGTAAGCAGTCTTTTCTCTGGCTTCATACTATCACCCAAATCAGTAGCGGACCCAGAAATTTTGGGAAGGGGAGCCAAGGTAAAATTCTTTAGATTTTGGAGAACTAAGAAAGATTATATAGATTTTGGGAGGTCAAAATGCTAATTTCTTCTTTAAATGCTCAAAAATGTATGGTGGTAATGAGAATTTTAAGAAGTTTGGGAGCCTAAGGTAAAATTATTTGAATTTTATAGAGGTCAAAGTAAGATTATGGAGATTTTGAAGGGGCTAAAATACTAACTTGCTTTATAAATACTCAAATTATATGGGAGCAAATGAATTTTTTATGAAGTTTAGGGTGGGCATGGCCCTCACCCACCCTCTATGTCTGGCCACTGACCCTGATGCACACTCCAGCCCACTAAACAAATTAATCATTGCCTAAAGGTGGTTTTACGATTTGCACCTACTATTTCATCTTGAATCTCCATAGAATAGATAGGTAGGCAAGGCTATAATCAGTTTGAGAGAGAAAAAATACTTTGATTAGAATAGAATCCAAAAAAGAAGATAAGTCTAAACAAAACAAAAGGCAATGGAGCTAGGAGTGTTCCATTAAGGAGGTTGGAAGGAAGGTATAGGGAAAATTTTACCGAAAAGATGGTGAGTAGTCAGGCTGGGTTAAATAGATTAAATAATTATTAAAATATTACTTAATATAGGCCAATTAACCTAATCAAAAACTATAGGAGACTAGTCTCAATTTAGACATGTTACTCACTTCTCATAAACTTATGTACTTATTTGAATTTTAGTCAATGTTCTTAAGCTCATAAAGCTTTGCAAGTGGATCAATTAAAAACCAAATCTCTTTTATTTAATAAAATTTAACTGTTTTTGGCAAAGAATGTTCATTTAATATGATTTCACACCAATCAAGTAGACTATATTTTTAATTACCAAAAACAAAAAGGTAAAACTATATTTCTTATTTACTGGAAGATTTTTTTCTTATTATGCGGTTACCATTGGCTTTTTAATGGGAGGCCAAATTAATTTTTTTGGGTCATTACATTAGACATTAAATTTTGAAGGGCAACCCTTATACGAAGTGGGCTTTGTAATTTTTTTAGAAATGCCGATTTAGTTTGACAGGGCATGATATAGGATGCAATAATATTTGGAGGATTAAATACATATAAAAATGAATTTTCGCAAAACTTTGGCTGTAAGTAAATAACATTTCCAAATTAAGCTCTCTGAGGACAATATTTAATGATCAAAGAGGCAAATGCAACTATTTTCAATATTAAAAGGTTCCAAGCCAAAATTCTCATCCCATAAGAAACTCCTCCAGATCAGCAGTCATTCTCTAATTACTACAGTTCCATATGATTCTAGATTGATCAATTCAACATAGGTCCATTGAAAGAGGATTGCTTTTGTTTTGAGGTTCTCACTATGCAATGGAAACCCCAATTCTGCTATCTAATAGCAAGACTTTGCCCCAATCTTCCTTCTCATTTGCAAGAAGATTCATTAGAACCATACTGTAAATTATATATTAGGTAAAACTCTGAACACAGAAGTCCAACCTGTTTTATATGTATACATGAGTAAGGGAGTGGCGAAGTCCGAGAGCTGGTTAACCTCCAAAAATGACACAAATACCTTATCAAATTGTCAAATTAAATGTCCGACTTTTCTGCTTATATGCATCAGATAAAAATCTAAGTGCCTGTTTAGTATACCTTGAACATATTAACATTCTCCTTTTGTCAAGATGCCTACGGTTTTGATGTTCTAATCAGGCATGTCAGATGCATTAATCATTTCCAATACCCATGTGACCTATTTTTGACACAATCATTTCATATGTTCTGAACTGTCCAATTAATATAGGGTCAAACAAGGACTGCAACAATTAGGTGTTGGATAGTGTGGATCCAAATAAGTGCTGAACATTAACCCTCAATTGTGGACGTGTTGCCCTGTTAAGTAGCCGAATTTTAGAATAAGGATAACTTTGGTATTTTACAGTTCTGCCTAGTGGCCCTAACATGGATTTGGAAAATTCTATTCGCACACCACATGAAATATCAGTACAGTAGACACCATTTGTTGTGTTCGAATATGAACTTTCAAACAAAAGTTAAATGCTCAAACACAAATTTACGAACAAAAATAAATTGTTTAAATATACATTTGGTTCAACTGTTTATATCCGAACACCTACTTTTTATTTATAAATTTATATCCGAACATTATAAATAATATGTACTGAAATTTTGTTTGTTGTGCAAATAGAATTACCTTATGGATTTATAGTTATAGTGCCGCGTCTCTGTATTGCATTGTAAGTCTTTCCGATCATACTAAAAATGCAGCGACGAGCCTTATTATGGTGTGAAACACATAAATGCGTGATTTGGATTCTTATTTTAAAACTGATTGTGCTTGGTGCGAACCGCGTATCAATTCCTAACATTAGAAACTCAAACAATAATAATTTTAAAAAGCATCTAACTGTAGAGATTTCGATAAAGAGAAACGTAATTGGAAGAAAAATTAATAAAAATTCCTAACAAGTGAGAGAGAGAGAGAGAGAGAACTCACTTGCAGCCACCAGTGGTGATAGAGCAAACGAAGTCGTCCCCGCTTGGGTGCACGGCGATGCTGACAGGGTCCCCTTCTTCAATCACGTGTGAAGCCTGTTGAAGAAGAAGCAAGAGTCTCAGTGTCACTAGTAACAGCACGAGAGAGAGAGAGAGAGAGGGGTTAGGGCAGAGACCGAGGGTTCGGAAGAGAGAGAGGAGGTCTTGGAATCGAAGGAGAAGATCTCGATGAGCGAGGGTTGATCACGGTGCCTGGCCTTTCCCACCACCACGAGATGGGCGTTTTCCGGCCGCCTGATCCACGAAGCACACGTCACGGTGCCCTGCCTCGACGAACTGTCCTCCATCTTTTTAGAGAGAGAAATGAGAGAGAGAGAGAGAGAGAGAGAGAGAGAGAGAGAGAGAGATGTTTGTGTTTCTTGTTGAAATGAAAGTATAGAAATTGAGAGGGAATGTATGTATTTATGTGTAGAAGAAGGTGAAGGAGAGGATGGTGGGTCCTAAATAATGGAAGAAGCGCGGCAACTACAATGATGATTGAGGGGTTGAGTCGATTGAGTGGATGAGTGAGAGAAGAATTACAATATGTCAACGATGGTTCGGTCTATTAGTATGTAGTATACTCTGTATGCATCGGACGGAGGATATTCGGTGATGGAGAAATGAGAGAGAGAGAGAGAGAGAGAGAGAGAGAGAGAGAGAGAGATGTTTGTGTTTCTTGTTGAAATGAAAGTATTGAAATTGAGAGGGAATGTATGTATTTATGTGTAGAAGAAGGTGAAGGAGACGATGGTGGGTCCTAAATAATGGAAGAAGCGCGGCAACTACAATGATGATTGAGGGGTTGAGTCGATTGAGTGGCTGAGTGAGAGAAGAATTACAATATGTCAACGATGGGTCGGTCTATTAGTATGTAGTATACATGTATGCATCGGACGGAGGATATTCGGTGATGGATTCCCGCTAATGATAGGCCCCGGGCGTTATTCTCATTGTGGCCCTCCTTCACTACACCTTCAACTTCCAGCTATGTTGCGCACACAAGGCGTCGTTTTGGGATGCGATTATTTTTTTTAATTTTTTATTTATTTAAGTTAAGTTTGACAACACTCAACAAAAAAATAAAAAGATAAAAAGTTAGACAAAAAATAAAAAGAAATTACTATTCATAAATAAAAAATATAAAAAAATATTTTATATTATATATTTATAATACAAATTAAACGGGTGGACGTGACAGCCGTCCTTGTCAAATCAGGCCATTAAGCACTTGCATTGGGGCAAAAAATAGTTCCATAGGTAAAGTTATAAAATTTGTGGTAATATTGGGCCCTTGGAGGTCCACTAAGGGTTACTTTTTGATAATTCAAACCGTTTATTGCATAGAATTCGTCGAGTAATATATGCTTGTAAAAAATCACATTGATTGATTATCGTTAACTATATGATCAAATCAGTTTTGTATAAACAAAACGGATGGTGTGATAGTTAACTATCGAAAAAACTAATACGATCATATAGCTATCGATATCCGATCAAAGTGATTTTTTACAAGCATATAATACTTGACGAGTTGTACATATTAAACGGTTCGGATTATCAAAACGGAACCCTTAGTGGCCCCACGGACCGACCATCATTGTCCAAAAGCTATTTGCCCCGAATGAGGCAATTATTTCTATGAAGACATCCTGGGCCTGCAGGAGAGCCGTACGGTCCATCACCTTTCTTCCACTATACACTTTATTTATATAATTTTTTATTACACATCTTTTCATAAAAAGTCAAAAAGTTAATCCAAACATTCATATTTTTTTTTTTTCAACTTTTTAGTCCAAAAAGATAAAAGTGCACTTATTTATGACACCCCAAACAACCCCTTAGTTATTTTATTTTATTTTATTGTTCCATTTAGTGATTATTTAGTTTTTTAAATTATTTGGTTTGAAGAGGTAAAATTGTCATTTACTAACTGTGGGGTAAGCTGTCAACGTGATCGTAGTAGGTTGTTAATGTGATAGTGACTTAGGCTACTTTTTTAAATATATATATATATAGAGGTTTTTTTGAAAATATCTTAAAATGTATGAGAGATACATTTTAAACCAAGGGTTTAGATCCATTCTAATAAATATCAATGGTTGAGATGTGTTTGATTCCCGCCCAAACTCTCATCTCTCTCTCACTCCCACGTCTGCCCAAACAGACGCATCTCTTTACACATCTGGTCCTTTCTACACGTTCTCTCTCTACACGTTCGCTCATCGCCGCCATTGAAGGGGAAGATCGAACTTGGCTCATCGACACCTACCCTCCTCGCACTCGCATCCGCTCCCGCACCCGCTCCCTTCAAACCCATCGTTGATTGAGTTCCGCTCATCGCCGCCATTGAAGATCGACACCTACCCTTTTGGCTGCACCCATTCCTCTTTGCTCGGCTCCCCATCGTTGCTTCAATTCAAACCCATCGTTCTTCGGTTCAATAGAGGTAAGCTCTTCAGTTCCAGAGGCTTCAATTGTTTATGGGTCAATTACATTGGGCTCAATAGTAAAACCCACAATTTTTTGAATCAACTAATCTAAATTAGTTTACAGAGGTAATTTTTTGAATCAACTAATCTGAATCAACTTATCACAATTTTTATTAGTTTTTGGTTGTGGTGAACAATCTTCTTCCAAGATTTATAGAGAGTGTGTGCTATATATATATAAAATCTGCATGTTGGATATATTGTAAATTTGTAATTCTTGGTGGCGTGAAGTTCTGGTTTTCTTCCCTTTTGGGGCTGTTGAAATTGAATTCAAACAAAAAGAAAAGGGAAAAGAAAAAGAAAAAAAAAGCAGAAAGAAATTATCAGAAGAGGTTTCTTGAGAATACCCTTATTTTTTATTTTGTGTTTATTTAAATTATTTATTCAATAGATTATTCACATTGTTTATTCAATAAATGATGCAACACTCTAGTAGGTCATATTTGATGACTCCCAGCTGGAAAAACTACTTCAACAAAACAACTGTATTGGATACAATCATGTTGAAATAAGCAAGCATAAGCATATACCAAACATATAATGAGGGTAAATTCATATCCATTCATATCTCATCAAACAAAATTTCAGAAGCATATGAGACAAGGAACATACACTTCTTTGAATTCTTTAAGTTTTTCCTGAGAATGAATATCTTTGGCGAACAAAATGCATGAATCTCCATCTAGTGATTTTCTCTTTGACCCTGACATGTTGGAGGGGCAGTGAACACCATTCTGCAGTTCATGCCTATTGGCTCCTCTTTCTGTTGTCAACTCATTTCTTCCATGACTATTTTCAGGCATGCCTGCTTCTGCAAACTTAACAGGTGCACTCTGGCTTTTACCATTCCCATTTGTTGAAGGAAATGCATGGCTGTTCTCACCATCAATTGCTTCAACTGTTTTACTTTTTGTAACACCATTTCCATTTACTGATGACATATTCTTCTCACCCTTCTCCATAGAAATTGAGGGTTTCAGATCCCCATCTTTCCGTTGGATTGACTTTTATTAACAATTTTTCCATTAACAGTTGCAGGAAACTTTTTGGTAGCAGAATTTCCAAAGCCACTCAAGTTGTCCTGTGGACCAGAAAGCACTTTATTGACCTTAGATCTGGTCAAATTATCCTTTACAAAAGAATGATCAACAGTTTGTTTCGTAGACACTGCTTTTGTTGAATGGGCTACCTTTTGGCTTTTAGATGCATCACTACCATTGCACTCTTGAGATTTCACACCATTCGAAGCCAATGCAGTGTTGGTAGGTACTGGCCTTTGTTTAGTACGAGAAAAGAAAAGGATGTAAACCTTCTCTGACAAAACTACTCAAGGTAACACATTGTTTCTCTAGAACTGTTTTGTTTTTGTTTTGGGAAATGACATCTATAAGTTGGTGGATTGCTAAGGAAAACGATCAGATTGAAGAGTTATTCTTCTTTTCCATACGATGAATTTTGGGTTCAAAACTCAATTCACACAGAAAGCTTTTCTTAATGCTGGACTGAACAATGAAAGAATAAAAAAATCAAATCTCTACTGCTTGGAATTTTTATGTTTCACATCTATTATTAGTTTCTTCATTGGTTTCTCTCCTATAAGAAACAATGTTTCTTTTCAGTGGTTTAGGCAAAGACGCAAGAAACCTATGTTGGAAGCGCTCGAGAAAATTAAAGCCGGTAACTACATGAGCACTTGATCCTAAGATATAATACTTTTAAAATAGTTATGAAGTTATATGGGTTGTTGGTTTTTGCAATTGATTTTTTTCGTGTGTTTCTCTTATTCTTAGTAAGCTATCTTCTTCTTGATTAATTTTTGCAGAGCTTATGGTTCTTGGATTTATTTCCCTACTCTTGACATTTGGGCAACACTACATTGCCAACATCTGTATTCCCATAAAGCTCGCAGACACAATGTTGCCATGCCCCATGAAACATCCTCTCCAGCACCATGGACCAGAGCTTAATTTGCCTCATGAGCCTGATGAGCTTAATGCGCCTCATGAGCCTAAACATGTGCCTGATGAACATAATTTGCCTCTTGAGCCTAAACATGAGCCTGAACATGTGGCCGAACATTATAGGAGGCTTCTATGGTATGAGCATAGATTTTTAGCTGGTGATAGTCCAGCTTTAGGGTGCAAGAAGGTTAGTGTCCTGTTCAGTAAGTGATTTTTAAATCTCAATTTTGATCTTTTTGGTTTGTTGCAACAAAAAGATTGTATCTTCAAGTATATCTTATGCATATGCACTAAATTTATAGAAAAAGGGGAATTCAAAGGTTCAAGTACTGAACAAATTTCAAGATGAAACTTCTTTGTTTATTCAATTTGTGGATAACTTGACGTTGATATATATATACATATATATATATGTATATAAAAGACTAATAGAAGAACTACATTATATGTTCTCTTTTCTTTCATCACCCACACATCCCCGGCCAAATTTGCTCCATTTTGACCATGTCTCAACATTACCATTTCCTGTAGGCAAATGGTTTAAATTCATTTTATTCTATATAAAGTGAGTAGGGGTAAATGGAGGAGTGTCTTGAGAAGGGGACTTCCTAAAGAAAGTGTATGGGTTGATGGCATTTTAAGTGCGAAATTGGTCCCTCTTTTTTATGAGTTTTATGGGTCTTCTTAAAGTGAAGAGCATGCCCTAGATTTATGTGTTTTTGTAGTTAGTATAGGAAAGGTAAAAAGAAAGTAGAGAAGGATTTGGAGACAAAGGGCATGTGAAATTGTTTTTTTGAAATTTTTTTTTTTTTTTTTTTTTTTGTGTGGTTAAACAGTATCTTTGTTGCTATTAATAACCTACAATATATTTGGGTTTTGATATATTGTTTACAACTTTTTTAAATCTATATAAGTAACCAAGCACCATAAAGAAAGGTTGATCATCATAGGATTTCTAAGAACCTAAGAAAAGGAGAAAAGAAAATGGAGAGAGAGAGAGAGAGAGAGAGAGAGAGAGAGAAAGGTGGGTATGCTTTTGAATACTACTTAAATTGTAGAAACATACATACATCTGTATGTATGTTTTTTTGAATATATTTGGTGTTTGGTTACTTCTATTGAATATTTAGGTTTTGATTTCTATTGAATATATTGTTACAATTTTTATGATTTATTTTTTTTAGAAATTAGAGAGCTTAAAAAAAATGATTTGGAAAAAATATTTGACTACAATATATGGTTGTTAGTTTTTTTTAAGATTTTATGAAAATGACGGAAATTACTTGGTATATGCGAAATACATACATCTCAAGAGTAGTTGGGATATAATTTTGAATATGTTGGTGAGCTAAAAACAAAAAATAAAAAAAAAATTGTATTGTCACATTTAATTTATCAGTATTCTATGTCCTAACCAGTATTTATATATAAATTCATTCTATTCTATATAAAGTGAGTGGGGGTAGATGGAGGAGTGTCTTGAGAAGGGGACTTCCTAAAGAAAGTGTATGGTATGAGTTGATGGCTTTTTAAGTGTAAAATTGGTCCCTCTTTTTTATGGGTTTTATGGGACTTCTTAAAGTGAATAGCATGCCCTATATTTATGTGTTTTTGTAGTTAGTATAGGAAAGGTAAAAAGAAAGTAGGGAAGGATTTGGAGGCAAAGGGCATGTGAAATTGTTTTTTGGAAATGTTTTTTTTTTTTTTTTTGGTGGACAAATTTAAACTCAAAATTTGAATTGAATTCTGTTAAAAAAAAAATAGTAATCAAAGTAGTTTATGTTTTACTATTAAATGTAATCTTTTCACAAGGCAAGTGAAAAAGAGAGAGAGAGAAGAGAGATAATAGGAGTGATGTTATTTGTTTAAAGACTGGGAAAAGGAATTTTTTTTTTTTTAACAAAACTTTGTTATCCATCTCAGTGACAAAGCCCACGGGACATATTCTTACAATAAATTATCTTTTCCAGTTTTTACTTTAATTTTATTGGGGTGCATTTATGGCCTAATAATTTTACAAAATTCATTTAAAAGTCGAAACCAACAATTATATTTTAACCTCAAATTTTTAGCAATGAATTTAATAAATTACATTTTAATTTAATAATTTTATATTTTGGTTGTGATTTCCAATTTTCCCTTTTCTCTGCAACAGAAACGGTGGTCTCGCCATTGATCAACATCAAGCTCCGTGACTGTCCACCCTTCCTCGGCTCCCACCCTCCCAATATGAGAGGTATTTTATTTCTTCAGTTCTTCAGTTCTTATGCAAGTGATATACGCAAAAGTTATAAGTTGATGTGAGTCATGATCGATAAAGCATCATACTCCTATTTTTTTATTTTTTATTTTTTTTATGGAATCTGAACAGTGTTGTGGAATTAAAGGTCTAGCAAGAGTTTGAAAAAATAAATTATAAGAAATCAACAGGGCACTAATCGATCCCCAGGGAAGACTAAAGTTTTTGCTAATTTAAGGGAGATTTCTTTTTCTTCTTTTTCTTTTTTTCCTTCAGTTTGTGTATTGAATTTCAAATATTTACTTTTAGATTTGTGGATTATGCTGATTAGGTTATACAACTATTTCTCTTTTGGTCTACAAAACATGCTAATGTGTTTTTATCTTTATTAGTTAAACATGCTGAAAGTCCAATTTTGTCATGGTTTGATTCTAGGCATGTAATTCTTTATCTTTGTGTGGCTGTTATGTTATTTTCTTGAGTAGAGTAATTCATGGTCTTCTTTGTTTTATTTATTTTATTTTTTTTGTTAAAAGTAAATAAAATAAATAAAATTGACTAACTGAACGGGATTGAGCTTAGGTGTTAATATTATATCATATGGAGTCGAGACACTCTTCCATTGATGTAGCAGAACTAGGATTTATTGAATTGTTAAGCTCTTTCGACCTTCATATTTGTTGTTTTGAAATTCTTTACATGTCCTTAATATATTGCTTTTTAGGATGTTAGTTTTGATGCTCATTTTCTTTGGAAAAATTCACATTGATTGAAGTTTGTAATTTTTTTTATTTGCCAGTGTGAACTCTTCCAGATCGAGGCACGAGTTATAGTTATAAAGGTAAATTCATGATTTAATTATTGAGCTTCGTTGGAGGTTTTATTTAATATGATTTGAATTTTCTGGCTAGGGTATATTTTTGGATCTGAATCAAAATATTATATTGTTTTTTTATTTTATTTTTATCATTTATATTTATTTTATATTTTTTAACCTTTATAATTAACAATGTTTCCAACTGGTTTGTTTTCTTGATGGGAACTCAAAGCATCATATTCATCCAAAAATGAATATTAAACACAAGGTAAACTTTAATTGCTTTTTGAATTTAATTATGTGTCGGTTTACAATCTTAAAAAATTCTTTTCCATTATAACGTTGTTTAATCATGTTCCAATTAATAATGTAACTTTTCTTTTCTATGAAATACATGTCTCACATTCCTTTTTTTGGGTTTCCATTGAACAATACCCCCAATGAGTTAGAAGAGTGTAGGAATAACCTAAACTCTTATATTAGGAAAAAATACACAAATACTCTCCAGGTTTTGCTTTAAAGTTCATGATTTTGGTGTAAACTATTTTAATTTGTTGGGGTTTGATGGGTTTTGATTTCTGAAATTTGAAATGGATTTGATGGGTTTTATTTCGCAGAAATTCGAAGTCCCATACAAATTTTCCAGCTTCGGCACTTTCCGGCTCATCCCTGTGAGTTTACTCTCTTTGTCTTTCTAGCATATACTAGAGTTCGTATATATTCAAATAAATGTATATAAATATATGAATATAGAATTCTCCAAGAAATGAGTTTGTCAGCAGAGACCACCATCTACTCTTGACATCCAACAAATGGTATGCTCTCTCTCCATCCCTCTCTTATTTTGGTTTCTATGGGTATCTCTACTTTGGTTTATGTTTATATGGGTTTCTATGAAAAGCCATGAAATTATTTTTGTATATTTGTTATAGGTTTTAGACTTCTTATCAGGCTTCTTTGTTATACCCATTGTATGTGTGAATTGGAAAGACTGTCAACAAAAATGTAATGTTTTTTTTTCTTGGTTTATTATTTGATTGCTAATTTGTATTTATTTATTTATATATTATTTGTCTGTAGTATAGAGAATCATATGTTTCATACAAATTTGTTTATTTATTTAGTAGTGCATGACCCGTGTCAATGGCACTCAATATAAAAAAATTAACAGTTAAATTTGTATGAAACAATAATATTAGGAATCAATAACTCAAAACACACCCACACAAATTTGAAACAACATTTGATGATAAAGAAGATTACATGGTATTCTTATGTGTTTGATTTCTACTTTCAACTGAAATTGATCGCTCTTATTACAACCATGGTATTCTTCTTCCCATAAAATTGTTGATGCTCACATACTAATAATCATGATATCCTCTATGAGAATTTGGTGTGAATTAACATGTTTGGTGTAAAAAGGCTCACATTAGATAGCTTGATACTTCTTAAGAACAGTGAATGATCATTAGGCAACTTGAGGACTTCTAAACATTAAGGTAAGAATTTGATTTGTATTCTTACTGAAGCAGTGATTGATCATTGTCATTTAGTAATTATTTCTTTGGTTGGTTGTCTAACTTGACTATACATTTTTTTTTTGTCATGTGTCATGTGTTAATGATGAAATATGAACACTTTCATCCCATGAATACTTAAACTTCCATCAGATTTTAGATTTTAAAATTTTCAAACTTTTCATTATTTTTCAATGTGTTGGGTTAGTTTAGATTTTTTTTATCAGTTTAAATATTTGAACTTTCATCAGATTTTTAAACTTTCATCCCATAAACAAAAAATTTGAATACATTCCTCTATAATATACATTCCTTTATATTTTAATCTCATAATTAATTGTACCGTGCCTTCAGGCACGGGCATATGCTAGTATATATATATAGGTCTTGGCTTAGGCTATTGTTTGAGATTATTTTATTTTTTTAATGTTTGAGGCTATTTTAGTCCTAAATCTGGATTTCCAAACAAGGCCAATGTAAAATATTACATAAATACTTTAATAAAAAAATATTATTTTTTGCAAATTAATATGGTATGTATTAATAATGTTTTTTTAATATTAAACAAAATTCAATTTACAAACATCAAATGTATTATATTGATTTAAAAATTTTATTTGTTTGTATAATTTAGGAAAAATTACTCATAAATCTCATTTTGATAAATGTTGCTCTATTTAGTCCTAAGTGTTTTTTTCTTAAACCATTTAGTCCTTTTTATTTTTAGTATAATATATGTTTTTGATATATTGTATATAAGGATTACATTTTTATCCATATTGATTTCATTTTCTAGGTCTCCCAATCTCTCCAACATCATCAACATCAACATCCGAATGTTGTCGAAGCTACTACAGCACAAGCCACCAACTTTTCAAGAAATCCCACTACAATCCTTATCTCTCTCTTTCTCAAGAGGTTTTGAACTTGAACTTTGACTAAGAAACTCAGTGCTGATGGATCCGGATTGGGATTTAGAATCTAGTTCAGTATCCAACGGTAGAGATGTGTTCCCACTAGAAGCATTGGCTTTTGACCTAGTTGATCTTGATGAGCCGCCCACTGATTTCTTTGATTTCTTTCGATGTGATTTTTTTGGGAGGTCAGATGCATTTTGCGAGGATGAATCTGATGCAACACCTACATCCTTTTGTTGTCGACTTAATTTAGAACCATTGGAGGAATGTTTTCTCGACTGTCTTGGTTGATGATGTTGCTGATGTTTGAAGATGTTTGATGATGTAGATGATGTTCACAATGTTGATGATGTTTGTTGATGTTGTTGATGTAGTTAATGTTTGTTGATGTAGTTGATATTTGATGATGGTTGATGATGTTGTTGATGTAGATGATGTTCACAATGTTGATGATGTTGTTGATGTTTGATGATGTTGATGATGTTGTTGATGTTTGATGATGTTGATGATGTTGTTGATGTTGCTGATGTAGTTAATGTTTCTGATGTTCGGAAAGGAGGAAAATCTAAAAAAGGCCTATAATAAGCTTTTTGGGTATTTTTGTCATTACAACATCAGTAAAAACTTACATTTGTCCTTCATCAAAAAAAAAAAAAAAAAAATTACATGTTAAATAAATAGGTATATACGTAATTAACATTCAAATAGGACTTATTAGTCTATAAAATAAAAGGCAGAACTAAATGGTTTAACAAATTAAAATTTGGAATTTATTGGTGTTTTGCCCTATAATTTATTCTGATTGTCTAGTTTCTATTTTATTTTTTAAATAAAAAAGGATAAAAGTATTAATGAGATTACAAGGTAGAGATATTTCGTTTAAATTTCTAATACAATCTTACTAAAACGTGTTAAATGTAGCAATGTAATACTTTAAAATAATTTACTATTGAGTTTGAAGTTTAAAAAAAAAATGCAAATGAATGAGAGAGTTTACTACAATATATCATAGTTTACATTGTACAAGTACAACCCTTACTGGCCTGAGATTTATATAGCCTTCGGCGATATTTGAAAATGGAACCATTATATATATATATATATTTTGTATAAAAATTTTATAGATAAAATAATAATTATCAATAATTTTGTAATGGTTAGTAGCCACAAAACTTTCCTTACACTTATGATTATTAAAATTATAAATTAAAATTTATTTTCATATATTAAAATACGAAAAAATCATTACAAAAATTCAAAAATGAAAAAAAATATGGATTATTTACTAATAAATCTCATCTCACAAATAATTATACCAATCAATCCCCAATTTAAACTGTTGATCCAATAAGTCCTACTGCTAGACAAATTTTTTCCATTTGATCCTATTTTCCATGTTTGGTGTTGATGCGTGGACGATTGTACCCCTCACTTTGTTGATTGGGACGTGTTTCCATGGGATCACACATTTTTTTTTGGGGGTATGTTGGACAACATATTTGGTAAGTCGAATGTTAATTGAACAGATGGGTCAGCCATTTTCCGTTAGGGTTTTTGGTGTGACATCGCAATGTTTTGCTGTGATGCCTATGTGTTTGGATAGCATATGTAGCAATTCAGACGCTGACACATGTCCGTCGATTTGCAGGTATGTCATGTTTTTCTTGTGCAATGTTGATTTCTTCGTTTGTTGGTAGAATATCGATGTTGGAGTAGATTTCACCTATACATTTACGTCATGTTACATAGCATCATTGGAATAACGATTCTGGTTTTGATACGTGTAGACAC